TCCAATTTAAGCAATTTAAGCAACGGAAATTGTGAATAATAACGATTACACAAAAAAACACTTTCAGGATTTGAGATTCGAAACATAGCATAAGCAGAGCTATGATTATGTCAGTTATACAGAACTTTAAAAAAAACTTGGCTTTTTTGACTCCATATTTGAGATGGCGTCCACAGTTGACCAGCATTTGGGTACTTTCAAAAAGTGATTGAAAGAAAGTTTGCAGTAACGTTGTTGAGTGACCTTTGGCCATTGCGAAATGGGATTAAAAAGGGTGATTGAGTTGTGATTTTTAAGTTGAACTATGAAACGCAAGCTTAATTGGATCCACACCGAATTGAATATTCGCACAAATAGGCTACGGTCTTTCAAGGAGGAATTTTTCCGCAACTTATAAATACTGTGACGGATGGATAAGAGGATCGACAATAGACGAAAATGCTGTTAAAGGATTACCAAAACACAGGTAAACCGTGAGAACATGCCTATATTGCAAACTCAATCAAAATGCTTTGAATGTTAACAATATGGAAGTGAAGGCCGAAGAGAAAATGATGGACTTACCAAAAAGCTGACTGGCTCCGGGAGGTGGAATGGTGGAATTTCGAAGACTGCTTTTAATCATCATTTGATTGTCAATAAAATTGACGAAAAAGCAAAGGAAATAGGCGAGATCTGGTAGGATAAATGAAAGACTGTTCAGCTGGTCGGCAAGAAAGAAGTCGGGGAAGTGGACCCTGGCGAGTGGCGCTCGGATGATTCGAAACTAGTAAAATGTGTAAAAAGGCACTTCATTACTTTACAGACAAAAAATAGTTAGGAACTTATTCATCTGCGTCCCTAAAAGGGCTAGACGTTGTTGGGAATTCAAACTTATATTCCTTCATTTCAGCGGAGAAAGATTTGATGTGACGCACCGGAAAATAGTAGGGTCAATGGGCTTTGATTGATGGTTTTTAAAAAGTGGTCAGTGACTTTGGCGTAAGAACCTTCAAGAATAAAGGAGTAAGAGAATAAAAAAGAGCAATCGCCAGAATCATCAGGTGAAATGAACCAATATCCATTTCCGAGTATTCAGATATGCATAATGTTGTCATTTCGAGGAGCATTCTGAGGGCACAAAATCGCTCGCCGTAGGTTTGCATAGATTATTAGAGCTAAATTCACTTCAGCAACAACCCATAACCACGCATGTAACATGTAGGTCTACTGATTTCAAACTGGAGGAGACATTAACGAATTGGATTAGTGATGTTGATCGGTGGAATGAAATGAAAAGAGGTCTCTACGACGTAGGGACGGATGCTATGCCAAAAGGCCACGGGACATAACTGGTGAGGCGCACGACCTCAAACAAATAAAAAGGTCCCTTGTGAAAGTCAACTGATGTCGCTGTTTGCTAGCTGACTGCTAATGTAAAAGTCAACCAGCTGCTGCAATTAATTCCACGATGAAGAACCACATATTTCCCGAAGACTCAACGGTTTGCGCCTGTAATAGTGCAAGCGTGATCTGAAAGGTGAGTGGTAACAAGCAAGGGACGCGTTCTGACGGGTAGGTGCTTGAACGACACTTTTCACCCTTCATGTGATAAAAGGCTTTCAACGTCATTATAACGTGGTGCATTTTTTAGTGAAGCTCGTGCAACAACGTATAGTGGCGTCGTCTCAAAAAAGAGACGCCTACCCATAAGACATCAGGTGATGAGGAAGGTAAGTGTGGTTATGGGAGCTACACTTACACACTTGCTAAAGAAACACATTTACGATGTCGGTACCGACTTAAGGTGCCTCGGTGGAGGTAAGGCTGAGTCAGCCAAGTGGACAATTGAAACAACGCATGCCTAGACGGAGGGTCCCACTAAACGCGCTGGCGTCCAGAGCTTTTTATAAAGACAGGCCGTTGTAGAATTGTTTAAAACAGGTGGCAACCAAGTGCGTTAGTTTTTGAGTAAGCGTATAAAAATCATAGAGGATATGAGCTTGGAGGTATGGAAATGTTGCGTTTTGAAAACCAAACGATGAAACTCACACTCTCTAACGAGAGTATCCTTGATTAGTACAAGTTTTTAACTGCATAACAGCATAAGGTCCAACACTGTGACCTAGAGGAAATACTTAGTTATGCTACCGGGGAGGCATTTGAATTTGGTGAAAAAGTTGGGTTTCCTTTGAAAAGGAGTACTATCTAACAACACTGATGGCTAAATGAAATGAATAAAAATAGAAGATAAGAGCCAACTCACCAAGATCTTGAGAAGCCAGAAACGGGACTTGAAGTGGAAGACATGAAAGGGTAAGAGGAGGAAGACTAGCATGGTCAGAAAGAGAACGAGTGGCGTCACGTAGCCAGGAAAATGTATTAAATCGGAAAATTGGTAGAGCAACACCGCAGCTCCCCAAAAGTCTGCCAAAAACATGCCCATCTAAAAATAAGAACAAAAAACAACACCAGCATATGATGCCCTCCAATTCAAATAAGAATAAATGTGGATGTACGGCTAAGAAGAAATGGTAAAAGTGCATACTTAAGCAGGCTAAGCCACTCAACTGTTATTGTCGTCCAATGACTGGATAGACAAACGCAAATTAAAATTGAGGACTAGCTATTATCGTTTAACCGTTGGGGGCCCTGGACACAAGCATAACACCGTAGCCTAAACCCTTTGCCATCGCTTAATGTCTCCATCGTAATTGCCCACTTTTAGTAAGAAGTCAAAACGCGTTCGTGGTGGGTTAAATGATCCCATAATGCCATTACTGTCAAAATGGCTGACGGGTGCCAGGAGAAGCAGCGTCCCATGAATAATGAGACTTCATGCGTTATCTGCTCGCAATAACAACTGAATCCAGTTCGTGTCAATTCTCATGATGTTTTGATGGGAGCACAGGTACACCAGTTGCGACCATGCGCCTTCGGAATACATATTGGAGTTGATAACATCAGATTTCACATGCGATGTAGTGGCAGACTTTTTGAACACAAATTTTTAAACGATTTCCCTAATGAAAGAGTGGACTGTCTGAAAACTTGCACTAAATCACCAACAGGTAGACAGTGCGCAATTGCAAAATGACACGCGGTTTGGGAGTGCGGAGGATGCGCTTGTAGGACTGCTATAACTGAGATCAGACGTCAAAGCAAGCTGACAATGATAGAGGCAATTCTCTGAAGCAAGGTTTGCTCACATTTTTAAGAAGACAGAAGACATTGCAACCATAATGGTCCCAAAAGTGAGGTCGGTTAACTTTCCTCAAGGAATAATGTTTCAATCCAGCCAAAAAGTCACCTACCTCCATAAGTTGAAATTGATTTAGATGGGAACGAGGGTCAATTTCAAAAATGAGCACATGGTTTACGCCAGAGCTTCGCCAGCCGTAGACGTTGACTCCGACCATGCAAACATAGTAAATGACCAAAAAGCTTCCTCGGAAGAGACGAAATGCAGGATAGGAGAACTGCGGTAATTTCGCGAATACAGCTGAAAAGGAAAACAGGCGTAAGAGTTGCTCCTGAGCGACTCAAATAACATCATTCACTAGCGGAGCGAAAATGCATGCTTAAATTGGCAGGCTGGCTCTTCGAAATTAACAACTGAAACACGTCCAGTAGTATTTTTGCTGACGCAAAATTATTTGCTTATTATCCCTTTCTCATCTGCCGACTGTCTTTGAGACACAGAAAACGGTGCTCTCATAGACCTCCCTCAGGAATCACAGTATAACAGATTTCAAGTTACTAACGCAGTTTTTGGTTGTAAACAAGCGTAGAAAAAAA